AAATATCTGTAATAATTGCAGTTGTTGTACCTCGTTTTAATACAAATAAATGATCAAGATAACCATTTGGATGTACTCTAAATACATTTGCTAAATATCCTTTATCATCACAAGTAACAAGTAATTCACCTTTTGGATCAAATTTCATTGTTCTTAATCGTGAAGCTGTAGCACAAAAATGGCATATCCTTTTTATTTGTTTTTTTGAAGTAATATTTCTATGATCTGCAACAACTACAAATTCTTTTTTATGGTCATCATCATTAATTTCTTGTGTTTGAGTTGGCGCTCCATAAATATTTTTTACTCCATCAGTAATCCAATTAATTGAACTTGTTATTGTTTCCGTGGTTATAGCTGCGGCGCTTTGTGGTGGTTCAATGTATGAAGGTGGAATGTCATAAGTAGGATATGCAAAATAAGCACTGCTTACAGCGATTGGATGTGTATTTTTTAAATATTTTGTGGTTGAGATTTGAAGAATCAATGATGGTGGATTTTGAGTTGTGTTATAAATATGTAATTGCCCATCTAATGTAAATGCAAACAATATATCTTCAACTAATTCAAAGTCACAATAGTTATATGAAAAAAATGATGATGCAATTGGTCCTTCTGGTCTAAAAGTTACACTAACTAATTGATTATTACTTGTTACAAAAAAAAGCATCGGCGGTGAGATATGTCTAAAACGTGAAAACAAAGGAATAACATTTTCTTCTACTGGATATGAAAATACCTCTTCATTTTTTGTTATATCATCACAATCCCATACTCTAATACCATGACTTTCACATATAATACAACATTTTCTCCTATTTATTTAAATTTTATTTCTGGATTTTATTAACTTTTTTAAAACATCAAAAAACAAACAATTCATTATCGTCTTTAGGATATTCATCAAATATAACAGCTTGTACATCAATTTGATCTTTTGGTTTTGGTGGTTTAGTTTTAAGAAAAGAAGGAATATAGCTCCATTCTTCTTCTTTTTGACCTTTAATAAATGATGCAAAATATGGATGATTCATAATTTTTATTTATTTTAAGTTTCAATAAATTTTTTTTTTACTTTTCTTCTTATCTTTTTAGAAGATTTTTTCATTTCTTCAATTTTTCTTTTAATATAACTTTCCATCTCTTTTTTATTAGTAGGGACATTAATCATGTTGTTATCGTTTTCAGTTTTTAATTCCAAGGGGTGTAGATTGTACCATTTACAAAGTTTCTTTTTGTCCAATCAATTAATTAACTTCTAATTATTAACTTTTTATAGCTAAAGGAAGTGAAAGAAAACAGTTATTAGAATTTATTATTGCTGAGGCAATCCTTGCTAAAGAAAAAGTTATATCACCTATGAGATGGAAAGGAGATACTGCATATTTTATGTTTGTTGGAGGATGTTGGTGTATTATCATTACTGATGAAAAAATTGGAATTGATTCAATGATATTACATTATACCATTCAAGCAATAGAAGAAGTTTTCCCTATTAGTGAATTAAGCATTATAAAGAACGTTAATTTATTAGAATCAATTGTTAGAGATTGTATTGGTGATGGGATTCTTCACTCAGTTAACTATTTTGATATTCTAAGAAGTGTTCAACCACCTCAAAGAGTTGAGATGATTCCTGAATTGCTTGAAGTGCAACATCCATTTCATAGAAAAGAATATCAAGAAGGAATTACTTTCGGATTAAAACAACGAGAATGGAATAATGATCATATTGTTAATGGATTATCAAAAACAATATTTGAACGTACTGAACCATCGTATGAATGTTTGGATAAATATAATACTCTTCCAATTGACAAAACAATGTTTGAACCAGAAAAAATTTTTCTGATTCAACAAGAAGAAATAAATGTTACGTTTAAATCAAATGGAGAAATAGAAAGTTCAACGATTCGAGGGGGATTAAAAAGTACAGTCTATTCAGTCGGAGTAAAATCAATTCAATTTGCTATTGACTCTATAGATTTTCAATCAAACCAACAAACAATTAACCAACAATTAGAAGGAACTAAAGACACTGGTGTATTATTATGGCAAAACCCATACGGTACTATTCCTATTCTTTCTTATCAAGGAGATGTAAAAACATACCCATTATTATTAAGAGGGCATACAGTTATTGACAAACATTCTCTTACAATTTATATAACTTATTCATTAATTGGTCAAACGTATCTACACTCATTTTGTTTTCATCTTCCTCAACAAATCAAATCAATTGAAACAAACCCACCAAATTATACAACAATTGGATCTACTCTTTTCTTATATCTTTATAAAAAAAATATTAATAATAAAAAACGTTTGTTTTTAAACTTTATTCATAAAATAATGAATGACCAAGGCTTATAATACAGAAGAAGGGTCTTTACAAATCACGTTGAAATATAGTAATGAAACTCAACCACATAAATCAGATATACCATTTGGATGGTTTGATTTTAAATGTTCATTTTTCTACAAGCACATTAGGACTGCCAACTATTACACAAAAAAGTGTTTCAGAAGTTCCAGTAGAACAACAAATATTATGTAAATCAGGAACGTATGGGATAAATTTTATTGATGAAAATTAATCTTCATTTTTGGTTCTTTTAAGATAAAAAAGAATGATGAAACTCAAAAACAATAACTTAAAAATCAGTTAAAGAGATATTACCATGTCACGAAGAGATGGTCGTGATGAAGAAATAGATTTTGGTGAACAAGTTATCAATGCAGAAAACGAAGAAAGACTTGCTGGATTAACTGACTCAATTGCTCAATTAAAAACATCAGCAAATTATTTAAAAAACAAAGTTGAAAGTGATGGAAAACAAATTGATGAAATGGTTTGTAGTATTTTAAATAGGAGTGTAACACAAACCGATTACCAACTTATCAATAGCAAAATCAAATGGATGATTTAATGGAATTTTTAAATTCTGTTAGACAGAAGTTAAAAAAATTATTTGGAACAACAGGAATGAGCCATTTATTAGTTTTAGTTATTGGAGGAATAGGAATTCTTGTTGTGATTTATGTCTTAGCATTTAAATTGAATTAAATACTATTTTTTGAGGAATTTTTGTTATTGATATTAAGAAAAAAAAAAAGAGATTAAATGAACTTTTTTTCTTTTTGTATTAATTAACTTCTATGATATTTATTATTACTCTTTTATTATGTATATTAGGTTGTTTTGCTCAAAACTTAACAATTAATATCTTTCATGTTGGACAAGCTGATTCTCAGTTGTTAATATTCCCAAGTGGGTATACTGTTTTAATTGATTTAGGTGAAAATAGAGATGATTTTGAACCAACTAATGCTAAATACATTACTAAACGATTAACAGAACTTGTTCCAAGTAAGACAATTGATGTTTTAGTATTAACTCACATTCACTTAGACCATTTTGGATATCCAGCCAACCAAACGGGATTGTGGTATTTTATTGAGAAAAGTGGATTTAAAATTAAGAAATATGTTGGCAGAAATATCGGTACATATGATGGAAATGATATTTCAAAATGTAATAAAGATACTATTAACTGGAAATATGTAGGAGAATATGAACAATACAATGTTGATTGGATTTGTTATGCACACACCCTACAAAACCAAAATTATATTAGTAGTATTAGAGAATTAGCTGATATTTGTTCTACGTCACAGATCCATCCTCCTGATAATAATGCTAGTATTCAAATTGTGATGGCTGATGCTTTCACTGTAAAGAAACAAGATGGAAATTTAGTAGCTAGTGATTGGCACGATACAAAAGATGCACCAAGTGAAAATGATTACTCTATTTCATTAAGAATTCAATTTGGAGAATTTGTTTATTTTACTGGAGGAGATTTAGATGGTTCACAAGACTTTGCTTGGGGAAATGAAATTAGTAATGCAGAAGAAAAAATCGAAAAAATTGTTGGTTCAGTTGATGTGTATCGAGTTAACCATCATGGTGACTATCACTCTTCAAGCAAATCATTCTTAGAAGAAATGAAACCAACTGCCTCTATCGTTTCATGTGGTGATCATAACAGATATGGTCTTCCACATCAACCAACAATGAATAGGTTATCATTATATAGTAAAACAGTATATTTGACAGAGGATTGTAATTCAAATGTTACCAGTGTATTTGATAATGTTCATATTATGAATGAGGACGTGATTATTACAATTCCAATTGGTACTAATTATTATGAAATTCATGACCCAATAAGAAATTACACCAAAATGTTTAAAATAAAACAGAATAAAGAAGAACGAAAAGATTGTTATTCTTTATTTTACAATGGAACATCATTAACATTTCTAAGTTTATGTTTACTTCTTTTACTAATTGCTTAAGAATGAGTTAATTTAGTAAGAATCAACGATTCCATTTTATTCTTTTCAAATGAACTAATCATGAGGATTATGATAAAATTAATAATATTTTTTATTATAAAAATAAAAGTATATCAAAAAATGGGTAGATAATTTTTTTTTGAAAGAATTCTTAGATTTTAATAAACTAATGTTAGGTGATGAAAGAAAAAGTATTTTTAAAAAAGAATATAAAAAAACATTATAGGTAATAGATCTCAGATTCTAGATCTTATAAATTTAAAAGAATGTTGGACTCATTTGTTACAACTAGTGCTCAATTAATTGGATTTCCAGAAGATATGTTTAGATTCTTATTTGCATTTATATTAGAAGTCCCTATTTCTATTATTTGCAGATATATTTCAATGAGTACAGATATGAAATATTTCATTTATGGTATAATTGGTATTTTTATATCATTTTTTGTATATTCAACTATGACTTATTGTGTATTAATAACTATGATTCCAGTTTATATAATTATGAAGTACATGCCAACAAGAAAAGGTGCATATCTTTGTTTTGGAATATCATTAGGTTATTTATTAACAATTCATATTAAAAGAATGATAGATAATTATCTTGGATATGACCTTGATTTTTCTTCTGTTCAAATGGTATTAACAATTAAATTTACAACATTTGCTTTTTCAGTTTGTAATGCATATGACAAAGAATATAAATGTTCTGAACATACTGAAAAACATAAAATTTACAACTATCCAAGTATACTTCAATTCTTTGGTTATACATTCTTCTTCCCTGCATTTTTCTCAGGACCATCTATGGAATATACAGACTTTGTATCATTTATTGATATGTCAATGTTTAAAGAATTTAATAATAAACTTCCACCAATTAATATGAAAGCAGTTGGAAAAGTTACATTAAGACTTATTGTAATTATTGTATTTTATTTAATTTCAGTTAAATATTCAATATTTGAATTATGTGAGTATTATATTTTAGGTCATAAAGAAGAATCTACTTGTTGGTTTAAAATATTTATGATTTATTTGTATGTTGAATTTATTAAATTAAGATATTATTTTGTTTGGGAATTTGGAGAATTGTTAAGTATTCTTATGGGATTTGGTTATAGTGGAATGAAGGATGGAGAAACAACATGGGAAGGATTTAAAAATGTAGATATTTGGAAAATGGAAACTGCTGATTCTATTAGACAAATTGTTAGCAATTGGAATATTCAAACAGAAAGGTGGTTAAGGTATTATGTCTATGAAAGATTAAATCAAAACAAAACTCTTGCACCATATAAATCAATTTTAACTAATATGGTTAGTGCATTTTGGCATGGATTATATCCAGGATATTATATCTCATTTGGTACTATGACTTTACAACAAAAATTCCAATATATGTTATATACTCAAGTTCTTCCTTTGTTAAGAAATAAATATGGAGAAAAATCAATTCCAATTTATCTTTATCATACATTTAATTATTTATATACTCCTTTTGCTCAAATGTATTGTTTTGTATCATTCGTTCTTTTAAGTTTTAGTGCTACATTTACTGTTTACTTGCACACTTATTTCATTCCACATATTATTGCTCTCACAGGTTGGATGTATCTTTCATATTTTCCAGTTTATAAAAAACCACGTCAAGAAACTGTAGAAACAAAACCAAAAGAAGTTACCACTGGATCACCAGCTACAAAAGAATAATTAAAAGTGAATAATTAAAGTTTTTTCATTATTAAGAGACTTTTTTTAATTAGAAAGAAAAACATTTTTTAATTCATTCTTGTTTATAATAATCTTAACATAATATGAAAATAATTATTAACACAATCATTATTATTGTTTTATTTCTTTGTCTTATTCCATTTGATATACAATCTGCAACTTTAAATTTCTGTGTATTAATACACCTTGTATTTAATTCTTTAGGACATTCACAAAGATTTGTTATAAATTTCTTATTTATTAATGAACAAGTAGCATTTGGTCGTAAACCACTTGCCGTTGTAAAGAATACCTGACTTTCTTTGTCAACATAAACACAGTATTTAACATTTGATGAACCACAAATATCAATATATTTTGTTGAGTCAGTGGTAATTCCAATACTTTCTAATCCAGTTCTTATTGAACCACATTTTTCAATGTCTTCAGAAATATACTCTATATCATTCTTAATACAGTTTGGGCGATAATATATCTTTCCAGAACATAATGAATAACTAACTACTTGGTGCACTAAACAAAAAACAAAAATGACAATTGCTATTTTCATTGTTTCAATAACAATTTTTTGTTTTATTTCTTCTTTTTTAGTTTTTTATTTTTTTATTATATTACTATGAAATCAAGTAGCAATTAAGAAAATGAAAGAATTTGATAAAATGAAGATAAAATGAAAGAATTTGAGAAAGAAGTAATGATGTTAGATAAATTTCGAAGTGAATATATTATTCAATTTTATGGAGTATTTATTCATAATAAAATATGTATGATAACAGAATATGCAAAATATGGATCAATACAAGATTTAATTAATAAAAGAACAAACACCGAAATACCAAATAAAATAAGAATTAAATTCATGATAGATGGAGCAAAAGGAATTTCATATCTTCATTCAAATGGAATACTACATCGAGATATTAAACCAGATAATTTTCTTGTTGTATCAATTGATGATAATATTGGAATTAATTGTAAATTAACAGATTTTGGAAGTTCAAGAAACATTAATATGACGATTATGTTTATTGAAAGAATGGAAGTAGAAGACATAAAAAAAGAATAGGACTAATAAAAAAAAATAACTAAAAGATAGTAAAATATTAATCTTTTAAATTAGGGAAAAGTTTAAATTTTAAACTGAAAATAATCAATTTCTTAAGAATTTTAATGGAAGAAACACAAACCCCACCAATTTATTTTAATGTTCTAAATATTCCATACAAGAGGTTAGCATTATTTAAAAATAAAAGTATTATAGTAGGTATGTGAATGTATGTATATATTTTATTAAATTATAACGATAAATGACTTATTTAATTAGCAGAAAAAGAACCAACAACACGAATTGATCAAATGGTTTTAGATATTATTGATATTGTCAAAGGAAAAATAGTTAATACAATCAAGTCAAGTGCACGTCCAATATCTATTGGACATAGTGAAAATATTCTTTTTATATTATTTGATAATGGAAAAATTAGAGTATATAGAACAAATGAATTGGATAATAATAAAAAATCAACAGTTTTGTTTCCTTCTTTTAAACAACAAGTCAATATAAAAACAGTTGGGTGTTGGGGAGAAAAAGGAATTGTTTGTATTTCTAAAGAGAATAAAGTTACTTTTTTCAACGTATTATCATCAGATTTATCAGTAAAAAAGAATTCTCTTGAACCTCAAACTAGTTCTTTACAACTTGAATTCACTTCAGAATTACCTGTTGCAGTAAAAAGTTATGGAGAAATAGTTATCGCTTATAATCAGAAAGAAATGATTTTGTTTAAAGAAAGTGGTGTTATTAAGAAGTTTACTACAAACGAGTGTAATATTCAATTTTTTAGAAATGTTTCGATTTACAATCAAAGTGTTATTGTTTCTGATCAATTTAACATAGGACTAATAAATATAGAAACATTACACACATCATTCATTTTTAATCCAATAGAAGAAGAATGTAATAATATTGAATTTGTTAGTTGGAACTTTGTAACTAAACAATTAGTTTTTTTTGTAATAACTACTAACATGGCTGCATTGTTTAGCATTGACCAAACAAAACAATCAGGAGAGTTAAAGTTAATTATTGAATATGGTTATTTATTTCCAAACATTGAATTAATACATATTACTAATGATGGATTTATGATTAAAAGTAGTGGCAAATTCTATATTTGTAATTCCAACCCAGAAAAGTATAATTCTCCTTATTTTGAATTATATCAACTTAATACTGAAACTAAAGAATTAACTCTTAAAAGAAAAGCAACTTCTTCTATTGATTTAGTTTCTCAACAACGTTCACCAAAGTTATTAAATCATTTTCTTTTTAATAGTACATCTCTTAGTACAAGAGATTCACAAAACACTCATTATCAAAACCAAAATCATAATTCTCATATTCAACCATCAATTACTCAAACACAAACAAAACCTCAACAAGAAAATTCTGCTTCGATTAATTTAAGAAATCATATTAATGAAGCATTTAGTTTTGGAGAAACCCAACATAAAATAGAAAATCAAAGACTAAAAACAAAACAACAAGAAGACCCCTCGGAAATTTTAAAAACTAGAATTGGAATCACATTAAATTTGGCACAAAACCAAATAAGAAAACAACTAAATGAAAATGGATCATTTACAGATTACACTCCAAAACTACCACCAAAAATGAATCAAACAAATTCAAAAATTGTTGACCCTTTTAAGTCAGTTGTAAATAAAAAAATTAATCAAGAAGTTTCATCAACAAGCCCTCTTCCTACTCCTCTTCCTACTTTTCAATACACACAAAACCCTATGGCAACACAACCATTACCAAAACAGTTAGCAACACAACCATTACCAAAATATTTTTCATCACCTATTGGTGAATTAAGAAATTTTGAATATAATTATGATACTCTTGAAAGGATTGTTGATATAAAAGATTTAAAGTGTTTTGGACTTGGTATTGGTCCTATTATTTGGATGAAAGGAGAACTTGCTTCATCAAATCCAAGATTATTTGTTTGTTCTGCAAGTTCAGAAATTAATGAAGTAATATTTTCAGCAACAATGGTACCTTTACAGTGCTTTCAAAAAGAAACTATGTTTTCACCACCAGTACTTTATGAAATGAAAAATGGAGCACTGTATATATTTCCACAAAAACAAAATTCATTATTTTCATTAAAACAAGGATATATTGAATCTTTAATTCCAAGTAAAAATAAAGAAATTTTTCCTCATAATGAAAGTTCTGTTCTTGAAATTCCATTAGAAGATGAAACAGTAATTAAAGTTATTACGTTAAATGATAAAACAACAATTTGTTATGGAAAATGTTTTACTGAAGTTCCAGTTAAAAGTTCAGATATTAAAACAATTAAAACATATCAAAAAGTTATTGGATGTTGTACAATAAATAAATTATTAATAATATATCCATGTGGTGTAGATATAATTCAATTACCACCAAAATTTGTTGACTTTGCATTAACACCATTTGGTTGTATTACTATTCAAGAAAGAGGTGGGGCATATGTTATTTGTTCACAAACAAAAGCACTTTATCAATTAAAATTTAAAAATAAAGACAATGGAATAGATCTATCTTTTTGTTCATGTTTTTATGATGATAAAATACTCTTTTTAGGTGATAAAAATGGAAGGGTTTATTATTGTTTCATTGAGTCATACATTTCATTTTATTTAACAAATTAAAATACATTTGATTTAAGTTGTATTATTGAATTGATTCTTATTCTGCTTATTCACATATCAATTCTTTTTATTTAATAAATAAATAATAAATTTAATAACTTTTTACAAAAAAAAAGAAAAACAAAGGAGTTAAAAACATTAAGACTATAAAACTTAAAAAATAACATAGGATATGATAACTAATTTACTACACCCTTTTAAATTGTCTTCAACAAATCTAAAAGTTACTTGCTCACTTCCATTTTCTTTAAAAAAGTATGTACAAGAAAAAGAAAAGAAGTCAAGTATGATTTTATTATCACAACGATTTCAAATCAATTTAACACGAGAAGTTGAGTTATGCAAAATGATAGCAGAAGGAAAAGAAGTTATAACTAAAAGAGATATTACTGAACTTTGGGAAAAAATTGATTTGTTTGGTGAAAGAGATGAAAGTTTTTATAATGAAACTACTTCATTTTCTTTAAATAATTCTTCTTCTAATATTATCCAAGACGAAGATGATAAAGATGATATGAGAAAATTATCACAAAGGCTTACATTTTATGCGTCTCATTTTAAGAACAATGACGGACAAAAGTCTAGAGGATTTGAACCTTCTAGGTTCAGTGATAATTTAAATTCAACAAATGAAGTTATTGGATTAGACTTATTTTATACAGAAAATGAATTAAATGAGATGAGAAGATATCCAATTTATGTAAATGATAAAAGAATACATAAAATGTTTGATATTAGTGATGTTATAATTGAAAATGGAAAAATTATTAAAGGAAAAATTCGTGGAATAGTAAACATTGGAGCTATTCATAAAAATAATGAGGTTATGCAAACTTTAATATGGACAAATGATTTATATTCTAATAATTGTGAATTATTAAAATGTATTACAGATTGTTTTGAAGTTTCTTGTCTTGGAGATAATGTAGAATGTCAGATTGTTAGATCACGAGTTGTTGGTTCATTAAAATATTGGATTGAATCATGTTTATTTGATAATAAATTTTTAGAAGATATTAAGGTTTTTATTCAACGACTAAAGAAATATGGAATGAATAACCAAAGCAATACTCTAGATATTACATTATCTAGAAGATTAGTTGGAATGGAAAAAGAGTATTCAAGAGATGATACAATAAAAAAACATGTATTTATTCCACCTTCATTATATTATGATATTGATACTCCACTTGAAATGATGTCTCCAAAAGAGGTTGCAAGACAATTAACTTTAAAGGGGTATTCATTATTTTCTAAAGTAAAAGTTAATGAATTATTATCATGGAATGAACAAGATAAAGAAAGTCAATGTAAGTCTATATTAGCTATTACTCAATTCTCTAATAGGGTAGTAGAACTTTTTGTTAATTTTATACTATCTGCAAAAAACTTAAAACATAGAATTCAAATACTTGAGTTTGTATGTCAAATAGGAATTGTTTGTTATCTTATTGTTTAAAAAAAAAGAATAATATAATAATCATTTATCAATAGGAAGCAGAAGAATTACATAATTATGATTTATTATGTTGTATCTCATTTACATTTAATAAAAGTGCTATATATCGTTTAAAACGCACGTTTAATAGAATTAATGAAAAGTATCAACAATTCATTGTTCGATTAAAAAAAGTATCATCTCCTGAAAATAATTGGCAAACACTTAGAAATTGTACAACACAAGATGAAAACGTTATTCATGCACTACCTTATCTTGGATACTTTTTATCTGATGTTACATTTATTAATGATGGAAATGTATCTACTTTTGGAAATGGAGTTATTAACTATCTTAAATGTAATATGTTAATGAGCGTTGCTCAAAAAATCTATCATTTGCAACAAATACCTTATTATGATCTTGTTGAGTCTGTTCCAATGCAAGAGGCATTAGAAAAGTTATTAGAAAGTATTCCCACAATGCTTGAATCTCAAATTGATAAAAAACAATATTTACTATCTAAATTAATAGAACCATCAGTTAAACATTGCATCTTTCCTATTAAAGATGGTAAATTTTTCTTTCTATCTCCATTACAGATGACTCCAAAACCATATAACCAAGACCCTTCTATGGATGTTAATACTTTTTTATCTTGTCTTCTTCCAACAATATTTCCTTTTGTATCTTTTGTTGCAGTACTTCAAAACTCATTCATTGGATTTTCTGGAAACACTTCATTAAGTCTTTTAATCCCTGCCAATTATTACACAATTTATCTTAAACCTGTAGAAGTAACTATATTTATTTATACAGAAGATGGATGGTTAAAAACTAAAATATTACTTGACTCTTCTCGTCCATTAATGTATCAGATGAATGCATTCCTTGCTATTTCAATTGATAAGAATCCCTTTATATTATTCCATATGAAACAAGGAATAGAAGATCATCTATTTTTAGATGTTAATGTATCTTTATCTCAAAATAACTTTGAGATTAACGATTATATTATATCTTACCCATTAACATTATTAAAATCTTGTAGTTTTGGATATAGTGCTGACGTTGTTCTTTTTGACGAAGAAAAAAATTATTATACAGCTACATTAAGTATAGTATCTCCTATTATTGTAGAAAGGGGAATTGATGGTGCATTAAAAGAAGTAGGAATACCAGTATTAGTAGTTATTGCGGGAATGGTAATGTATGTATACAAATCAGATAATCTTATTCGCATATTTCCAATTCAATTTACAAGAACAAAAATTTATCCAGGAACTCGTGGAGTAGTATTAATATTGACTATAAATAATAACACTTTTAGTAATGAATTAACTGAATCTCTTTTCCTAATTGGAGATCAAAAATTAATATTTGATATCGTAGAAAGAGTTGATGTATTAACATGTCAATATTCAAAATGTATTATGGGAATTTCATTAAATATTACTCTAACACGAGAAAATAGAAAAATACCTTATCTTATTGATAAACTTATCTCATCAATTACCCTTGACCCAAACTTTTTTAATCCAACAACATTTGATTTTATTGACTTTTCTATTGCAAATTTAGCTCATACTATTGATGGTCACTCTAATTATAGTTTTAATTCTTTATCACTGCAACAACGTGTTAGTTTATTACGTTGTTTTTTAGCATCTTTACCAGAACCACTTATTCCAGAGTCATTATACGATGATTTCTCTCGTGTATCTAAATTCCCTGAAATGAAACAATGTGGATTTATTAATGAAAAACTTCAATTAATTGAAACTTCATCAAGTATGTTATCATCAGTATTGTATTTACTTCATTTGTATCTCAGTTATAATCCATCTAAATTTGATAAATTGATTCCATTTGTCCCAATACTTTTAAGGAAAGGTGATTCTATTTCACCATTAGATCAAATCACAGTAAAAATACTCTTAACAAATGTCCCTCACCTACATCTTCCAATATCACAACTACATCCAATTCAATTCATACCAAAAGTTTATTCAATCAAAATTAAAATGCCTGATTATCCTGCTATGAATCAATTGATAGGAGAATTAAATGATACAACAAAACAAGCACTAGTCAATAAAAAATATAAGACTGTTATTTGTAAAATAAAACAACCAGAACAAAGTTGTAATGAAAATGATATTTACAAATTATTAAGTCCTGATATAAAACAGTATCATTATGATGAAAAAGATCATAAAGGTGAAACAAATGTAGTTAATTTTGAAACATTCTTATTAGAAACTAAAAAAGAAAAAAGTAAGACAAAGAGCTGGTTAAATTATTCTTCTTCAAGAAGTATGAGCAACTCTCCCATTTTACCTACTTCTGAACGTCCAACTAGTTTCTTAGGTGCTTCAAGAAAAAGAAAAATAACAAATATTAAACAACTAGATATTTTATCAGCACCTTCTACTTCAGATTCTACCCCACAAACACCTTCATCAGTTTGTTTATTTAATTAAATAATTTATTTTTAAATAATGCATTAACGTATAGAATCGTTCAAGTCAAGAAGAGATTGTTGGATATGACTCAACACTAAAAAATAGTGGTCGTAGTAGAAAAAGCCCAAGAACAAACAGAGGTGGAACGATTGTTTTGACGGCAAGTGGTTGGACAACTGCTGAAGTTCAACCACCAAAATACTCATCATTCTTATTAGAAACAGAAAACCAATAAGTGACTTGTTATATTAAAATTGCTATAAGTTAATTCACTACAAAAGACAAAAAGAAAAAGAACAAAAAACAATCAATCAGATAAATGTGATTATAAAACACCAGCTAAATCTTCTTTAGATCTAATAATAATTTTTTCTTTCTGTCTTCTTGTTGTAAATCTTCGTGGCATAAACATTTTTGGTTGATCTTCATCATTAACTTTAGGTTTAGTTTCTTGATATTCTTTACTCTTTTTTTCATGATGCTTATGGTGTTTGTGATGTTTTTTCTTTTCTTGAGACGAAGAATCATCAGAAGGTTGTGAATTTGATTCTTGGTCTTTTTTAAGTTCAGCAATAATTCCAGGAGATGCTGTTTTTACTTTATTTAGTACTGCTTGTAATCCATTAAATTCTAATTTCTTTGGTTCAGGTTTAGCTAATCCAATTCCACAACGGTTTTCTTCAAATTCAATATCGATTCCATTTGTTGGTTTAAGATCCCCTTCAAATCCTAATCCTTTAATCATTGACAATCCAATACTCCCTTCTTCAACCCAATGTTTTTGAACACCTCTATGTCTTTTCTTTTTCTCAGGGAATATTTCATATATTCTTTCACTCATTTAGGGTTCTATCACTTCTTCTAAGTTCTTAGTTCTCTTTGATTTCAAACTCAGTATAAAATGTTTTTAATAACGAAAATTCAAGAATAAGAATAAAGAAGAAGGGTAGTAAATTATAATATAGAAAAAGAACTAATTCACTAAGAAGAAGAAATTTAGGGTAAGAGAAGAACTAAATTGTGTAAGTCGCCATGGTTTGTTGAGATTATCACATTATCTTAATTTTTTAAAATAGGTCTATGTAAAATAAGTGTACTTTTAAATGAATTTACTTTTTATTAACAGTTGTACATTCAATTAAAAAGAATATAAGATTAATTATTTAGGCCACCGTTACTTCAGAATCAGAATTCCAACACATGCTTCGTGTTTGCAATACCAATCTTGATGGTCGTAGAAAAGTTCCATATGCCCTCACTGGAATTAAGGGATGTGGAAGAAGATATGCTTACCTTGTTTGTAAAAGAGCTGGTATTGATGTCAACAAAAGAGCTGGTCTTATGACTCCTGCTGAAATTGAAAAGATTGTTGATATTCTCAACAACCCACTTAACTATAAAATCCCAGTTTGGTTCTTGAACAGACAAAAAGATAATAAAGATGGTAAAGACTCTCAACTTATTGCTAATGCTGTTGAAACAAGACTTAGAGAAGATATTGAAGCTCTTAAGAAAATGAGAGCTCACAGAGGTCTTAGACATTATTGGGGATTGAGAGTTAGAGGTCAACACACTAAGACCACTGGAAGAAGAGGAAGAACTGTTGGTGTTTCCAGAACTAAAGGTGCTTAATAAAAGTGGTTAATTTAAGTAAGGTGACGTTTATATTTATTTTTATTTGTTATGTAAAACAAATTAATAGAAAACAGAAAAAAAGGAAGAAGTTTAATAAAAAAAGGGAGTAATAAAATTTAATAATTTTTATTTGATAACTCTAAGCACATTTTTAAAACATCATAAAATATTAGTAATGAACAGTAAAACAACCAAGTGTAATATTAGAAAATAATAGACTTGAAATATAAAATATATTGAATAAATTATTTAATAAAATCAATAAGAAGAATCTGAAATAAAAGAAGATAATAAGAACTTATAAAAAGTGAATATATAAAAATCAACAAGAGCACTGGTTGAGAATGTCTAAGGTACTAGAAACTGTGGTTCTATGGAAAAGAGAATAGGCTTAGTGTTTAGGGTTTTTCATTAGGAGCGAAGGATTGGAGCAACCCTTTGACATGATTTCAGAGAAAGAAAAGAGAAAAACGAACTAATAATAAAAAGAATAGAATTAGAAACTATCAAAAATAGTTGAGAAGAAGAGGAAGAGAAATGATATAAAAAGACATCTCTAATGAACTCTTATTATTAAACTGTTGTTATCCCAACATGCCTGGCACTAAGAAAGAAACTAAAAAAGAAATCACTGAAACCAAAGACAAAGTAGAAAAGAAAATGAGTAAGAAAAAAACAAACACTAAAAAACCAAGAAGAGTTGTTAAGAAGCCAAAGACAACTAAAAAAGCTAAAAAGCCATTAAGTGCTTATATTCTTTTTACTCAAGCAAAAAGAGAAGAGATAGCTGCTACTCTTAAAGATGGAGAAAAGATTAATGCTAAACTTGGTGAAGTTTGGAGGGCTATGAGTAAAGAAGAAAAACAACCATTCTTTGATTCTTATAAAAAGAGTAAAGAAGAAATGGAAGTTGCTGCTCAAGCCAAAAAGGAAAGTGCTTCAAGAGGTTTAAAAGCTGCTCGTGCTGCTGCAAAGGCCAAAAAAGAAGCAGAAGTTAAAACTGATTGAATTTAATTGGTTTTGTTTTTCATTAATTATTATTGTTGCTTAGAGTACCGAATGATAAACTTTTATGAGAACTTAATGTAAAGACAAATAACAAAGAAAAATAAATAAATAATGATAAATCAATTTAATTGTTTTTCTTTTTATTCATAACATAAATAAATAAGTTGATTTGGATATGTGGTCATTATTTGTTCTATATCTTCCCTTGATACATTCGCCTTAATCCCCATTTCTTTTAAATCAACACGTCCTGTCAAATATTTAGAAATTTTAATAAGATTTTGTTCTATTAATGTTGGTTGTAATTTGTTTTTTATTTCTTCAATAAAAGAAGGTGCTATACACAGAATATAAGTTTTAATGCGATTTAAAATTCCAAATGAAATAAGCCATGCAACAGAGTCTGTAAATGCGTCGTATTCACCTTCAGGAATATTTTCAATTATATTGTCTAATGATTTCTTTTCTTCAAAATAAGATAATAATTTACCTATATCTTTCCATGGACATTCTTCTTCATATTTAGTAAATAATACAGATGGTCTTATTTCTACTGTTTGGTAATTCATTTTAGATGAAGTATATGATGATCCTTTTGCATTTAATAATGGAGAACGTATTTTGGACATTACATAAATATCATCTAATTGAATTGCTTCAATAATTTTAGCTTTTCCCCAATATACTAAATAACGTGCAATATGATACACAGTTTCAAGTGGTATACTCGTTATCATAGAGAGATATTGGAAACTATTCATTGGTGTTGCTGTTTGAAGAATTGTTTTAACTTGATTAATAAATTCTTTACTACGAATATGTGTAAATTGTTCAGTGAGTAAAATGAGTTCATCGCTTTCAACCAAATTATTAATCCATTCTTCTGGATTTTTAAATAAAAATAAAGCATGATATGGTTGAAGTTGTTCTGAGAAAATATTTTCATAATCGTTTAATGAAATAGGTAAGAGATATTTACTATTTATTTTTGAATGAGCAACACCTTTAGTTTTTAAATTAATGAATATGTCTTGTATTGATGCAGCAAGATTAGACTTTAAAATGATTTCTGATATTAAATCCTTATATGTCAATGGTGTTTCTCTTTTAGAATTCTCTCTACAGAACTTTTCACGAACATTAAATATTTTTCTTACTTCTTTAGATACATATCTATTTCTTGTTTCTTCAAAAATTAAACTATTTGATATTGTTCTTGATGCTGTAACAAATCCATCAATAACTGCTGGAACATAAAAGTCTTTTTGAAGAAAGAAAACGACATTTATTAAAGTAAATTCACTACAAAATAAATTTTTGTATATTTTTTATAAAAAAAAATAATACAAACTTCTCATCATCATCTTCTGGAAACTCTTTTAAATATCCAACTAATGTATGTCTATCAACAGAAAAAATAAATGGACCTTCTTTCATTCTTCTTGGAACTAATAATGATCCGAAATCAACTATAGAGGCTTCAGCCTCATGATAATATTTGACATTTCTAGGGTCTAATGCTGATTGTTCTAAATTTCCAGCTAAAGTAAATTTATTAAATGGTTCATTTTCTGAGTTATAACAAAACAAAACTCGTGATCCTTCAATACAACTTCTTACCGATACAACAATACTTCTTAATATTTTCATTAACCGATATAATAAGTTTTCTTTTTATTAAGTTTGTTTTTATTATTTTTGGTTTTTATTTTCATTATTCATAAGATTTTTCTATTAAAACGAAGAAGTAATAATTTTAACTTGGAATTAGTGATTGTTTTTGAATCACAAAGATTAAAAGAATGGAAGACTTAACAGATTTTTTTTTAGTTTAATGAGTGATATTAAAGCAATGAAAAGATATGTTGTAAGTGAAAAAAAAAAGAAGAAGAACTTAAAAGTCAAATAAAAAGAGTTTATATGAATTATCTTCAATTACAATATCCTCATTGTATATATGAGCCAAGAGGAGTATATAGTATTATAGATACAATTAAAGATATTATTGATACATTAAAATCACCAACAACATGGAAAAGATATTTACCTATATTTTTTGGAGTATTTTGGATGGGGTTGTGTGGATATTGGAACTCAGTATTTCAAGTTCTTGCACAAGAAAGATATACTCAATGGTTAATGATGCACCCTGAAATACCAAGACACCTTGTATTACCTGATTTCTTTTTTAAAGTATTACCATATTTTAAACAATCATGGGTTTGTGATATTTATATTGGAATTTTTGTTATTTTTACTAATATTCGATTTTTATTAACACCATATCGATCATGTGTTATAAGAAGATACTTCTTCTTACAAGGAACAATATTCCTTATTAGATCATTCTCAAAAATTTTACAATTATGCCAGACCCTTCTTTAAGTACAAGTAATGTTAAATATAATCCTTTTATTGAAGGATTTTTAATTATGTTTGGAATTCATAAAACTTCATACGATTGTATGTTTAGTGGACATACCGCAAATATTGTACTTTGTGCTTGTATGTGGTATCAATATTCAGATTCTGCTCCAATATTTAAATTAGATTGTTTAAGTTCTTGGCCAATTAACTCTCCAACAGGATATCCATTACGTTTTACAGTTACAAAGGCTTTTGGGTGGATTATTTGTATTGGTGGGATTTTATTATTTTGTGTGACGCACCTTCATTATTTTGTTGATATTTATATTGGATGTATTGTTGCATTCCTCTTATTCAAACTTTACCATAATTACATACTAACCATATATACAAGAAATAATATTTTTAATGCTTTTTTACGTTGGTTTGAGCAAGATGCACCAGATATTCCTAGAGAAGTTCTTCCAATTTATAATTCCCATTTTGAATAATTCACTATATTTGTGTTATATATGCCATAATTTAAATAAAAAAAAGTAAATTTAAAAACTTCAAAAGAAGAAAGAAAATAAAAAAAGAAAAAATGAACTTAAATTGATAAATTAAGATGTTCCGCAATCAATATGATTCTGATAATATTACATGGAGTCCTCAAGGAAGGTTATTCCAAATTGAATATGCAACAGAAGCTGTTAAACAAGGATCAGCTGTTGTTGGCGTCAAATCAAAAACACATGCTGTTGTTGCAACATTTAATAGACAAACTGATGAATTAGGTGCATACCAAAAGAAAATATTTGAAATTGATGACCATATTGGAGTTGCAATTAGTGGATTTTGTGCTGATGCACGAGTGATTACAAGTCAAATGAGAAGTGAGTGTATTGATTATTCGTATGTATATGGAACACCACATCCAGTAGAAAAACTTGTTAAACAAGTTTCTGATAATGCACAAGTTAATACTCAAAAGTATGGATTAAGACCATATGGAGTTGGGTTATTAGTTATCGGATACGATACTAAACCTCGATTATTTGAAACATCACCAAGTGGACTTTATTATAGTTATAAGGCACAAGCTATTGGAGCACGATCACAGTCATGCAGAACATATCTTGAAAAACATTTTGAATTATTTAAAGAATTAGATGAAGAACAACTAATCAAACAAGCCATTTTAGCTTTAAGAGAATCATTAACAACTACTAATGATAAACTTTCTGTTTTAAATTGTAGTGTAGCAATTGTTGGAAAAGATACTCCATTTAGATTTATTACAGATAACGAACTTCAAAAGCAATTAGATAATTTAGATACTCAACAAATGGAAATGGTACAAGCTGAAGTTGATTAAATTGATAATTTTTCCATCCATTTTGTTATTATTTCAATAAATTTAAAAAAAAAAATTAAAAAGAAAAGGTTCTAATAATTAAAAATTTAACAAAAATGAATGAAATTAACAGTTATGAAGATGTTCAACAATATATTCACCAAATAAAACAACAAGAATGTTGTAACAAACAAGAATCTCAAGAAAAAATTGAAGCTAAAGAGGAAGAAATGGAAATAGATAAAAGTAACACTGAAAATGAAAAAATTTTACAAGAAATGCAAGAGATTAAAGAGAATAAAAGAAGTGTTAAAGAACTTTGTGAATTATTGAAAAAAAGTGAAATGAAAAAGATTACAGAAGAATGGAGTAATGAAGGGATAAGATTACATGAAATGTTAAAAGAGGCTATTAAAGAAGAAATGAAAACTGCTTTAATTTGGTGGAACAATCATTCAGATGAAGAAAGAAGAGCAGTACTTATGCTTTCTGTTCATGCACTATTAGATGATGGAATGGAAACAGGAGAATCATTGTTACTTGCAGACGTATTTCCAGATATAAATTATTTGTCAGAACATCCCCAAACAGTAATGAAATTTATAAGTAATATTTATAAAAATCCAAGATATTGTAATAGTGAAATATTTAATTTTGAAGAATTAAAAGAGGTATTTGAAAAAGAAGTTGATAGTGTAAGGGCATTATCATGCATTACAACGATGCTTGATGCAAGGGTATGTATTGCATGTAAATTGTGCATCAACATATTAATAATTACTAATCAGATTGATTATTAGATTAATAAAATTTAAAATCATTGTTGATAACTTAAGAAAGAAAGTCATTAATTGAGTTGAGACGAATATTAAAAGTTTTCCTTTTTTTTTATTAATCACTGAAAAAATTATTCAACTGTGATGTGGTTATTGCCAATATGTTTATTGTTTAATTGTGTTAATGGCTATTATTGTATGAAATCAATACATGGTGAAAAAAGAGGAATGTTGTCATATAAATTGTATAAAGTTAATAATATCACTACTTCTATTTATGTTAATTTATGTGGACCAATAGAAAATCACCCAACAAGTAGTGTGTTAATGGTTGGAAGAAAAGAAACTGAATTAAATGACCTTTTTAGTGAAGTGATTAGTTATAATAATACTCAGATGATTTTACACTATACCTTAAAAGATTCAATTCCAGATTGTGAGATATATCATTTACAAGTAAATTATCAATGTAATAATACTTTAACAGAACCAATTATCACAAATGTAGATTATGATATAAATGATCCATTTTTCTGTTCTAATATAATGTTTGTTAATTAAATTAAAAATAAAATAAAAGGTAATTAATTGAATAGAATAATATATACTCCTGATATTTGCCAGTTGATTAAAAATAAAGGGAAATGAACATTAGTAGTTATTTATTTTCTACCTTTGCTATTTTTAAGAAGTTAATTTTTATCACAAAAATAAAAGTACCTTTTCTTTTCTATTTATTTTTCCTATCCATTTGATAAATACAAAAAAAGAATAGAAAAGATTTATTCTACTAAAAAAATATAATTTTTATATATTATTTTTCAAACGAGATTTTTTATTCGATGTTTTGACGTGTTGTTTCTATTTGTAATTGATAGAAAACGAAAAAAATTTTAAAACTCTTTAGAAAGATAAATTATTATATGATATTAATAGTAACACTCTTACTCTTTATCTACTCTCTTACTAATGCACAAATAACTGTTAATTTTGATGAAATTGATCAAAAAGGTGTTTGTGGGAATGGAAAAAGACATCGTTTTGAAGAAGAGTGTGATTCTGTAGAACATTGTACTGCTAATTGTAGGTGTGAACTTAATTACTATGCACCACCAGCAGAAGAAGGTTGTATTGAAAATTGCACTAATATATGTTTACCAGTTTGTGAGATACAAGGATGTATTTCTGGATGTAGATTTCCTGATGATTGTTCATTATGTGATATAACAAAAGGATATAGAGAAGATTGTACTGGTTGTATTGAAGGTTATTCTCCACGAGGGTTTCTTAAATGTTCAAAAGATCCTGATATTATATATACTCCAGAAACATTTCTTCAAAAACACCTATTTATTTATGAATTAAAAACAAGTCAATATATTATTAATCCAGATGACGTTGAACCAACATTTTCTACTTGTACAACATATTTGGATCCATCTGCAAAATCATTTCCAGGCGTATGGGTTAAATTTACATCAACAATAAATGGATATTATTCAATATCAACTGACAATGATTATTCTTGGAATGAACTTAATCTTCTTTCTAAACAAAAAATTTGGATTGGTAATGATACTGCATTAATTCTTCAAGACAGTGAAGGGTTATGTATTCATAGAAATGATGATGTTATAGATTATGTATCATCTTCTCGTCTTTCATTCTACGCTGAAGCTAACAAAGATTATTACTTATTAGTTCATGGATATTATGGTTCACCACTTGACACTTTTACTCTTATTGTAAAAGAAATAGTTCATCCATGTGTAGCGTTTCCATATGTTATTCAGTGGAATGATATTATTAACACGAATGGTCTTTCATTAACAACTAAAGCAGCAACTGGTTCATTAACAAAAAGTCCATGTATTGCAGAGACCAGAAATGGGAATTGGTTTAGTCTAGATGGAGCAGATCATTCAATTCTTATATCAGGAACACCAATGGTTTTACATGTTATTTCTGTTCCAATAGTAGAGAGTTCATGTATTTCAGATAATGCAAAATGTGAGTCTATGGTATCAACAACAAAGAAAGGCAATACTATCATTTTAAAATTAAATCCCGAGAAACGATATTTTTTCTTTTTTACATTCCATGATGATAATTTATTTATTAATTTTAATATCAAAATAGTATGTAGTCAATGTAAAGGATTTTGTAGTTTAACATATGGAGGATGTCTTTGTAATGGAGTTTCATGTGAAACATGTGGGAATAATATATTAGACGAAAATGAAGAGTGTGATGTTTCGTTTAAAGATAGTAAAGGTTGTAATAATGTTACTTGTACTTGTGATGTTGGGTTTAAAGCTCAGGACGGGATTTGTATTCCTCTTTCATGTGGAAATGGTCAAATTGATAAAGGAGAAGAATGTGATGGAGGAAATGGATGTAAAGATTGTTTATGTTCTCCTCATTATTTACCTTATTCTATTCCACGACTATCATGTTTAGATGATAGGTGTGGTAATGGGATAATTGATGAAACAGAAGAATGTGATGGAGGAGATGGATGTTTTGAATGTGAATGTCAAAATAAATGGTATAAACGAGGAACATCAACTCATTGTAAAAGATTATCAAAATGGATGTATATTGGATTAGCTATAGGATGTTTTGTTGTTACTGATATTGTTTTATATTTATTGGTATTGTTCTTCTCATGGATTTCTGAAAGAAAATTAGATAAAGTTATTTCAGCAGAACGTGAGACAGTTGATAGGTTGTTACCATTTTTTGAAACAAGTATTATTCCGTTTGATCCAAGTGATGCTAAGAAGATTGATCTTACTATACCAAATGCACTATTTGAATTAAGCGAAAAGTCTATTAAATTAGATGAAAATGAAGATAATTATATTGATGTTGGCAAAATGGTAGAGACTTCTTTCTTATTAACAAACAAAGCACCTAAAACTCTTCACTTTACTTGTCATGGTGTTGATACATACAAGTATTCAGTTAGATTCCAACCAGTTACACAATCACTTAGACCAGGTCAAAGTGTAAAGATTAATGTATTAGTTTGTGCTAAATGCACTACTAAAGTTGATGATAATATTTTTATTACATTTAGATATGGTAAATTACATGCTGTTTTAATGGATATGAATCAACAAGAACATTCTGGAATTTCTAAAGAGTCATCATCCCATGATGATAGATCAACCTCATCATCAAGAAAGAAAGCAGATTCTCTTTATCAAGACAAAACAAATAGTCTAAATTCAAGAGGTTCCAAAGCTCTAAGTAATACAAAGAAAAATAAAACTAAAATGAGTAAGTATTATTGTTCATTACAATTGAAGTTTGAGTCATCTTTAAGTACAAAATTAGATCTTGATGAATTAAATCTTATTCATCCAGCAATTGGAGAAGGTACATATGGTATTGTTTATAAAGCAGAGTGGAGAAAAGTAGATGTTGCAGTCAAAATTATGAAAACAGATATTGTTGATTATAATAGACTGTTGCCCCATTTTATTCAAGAAGCAAATATTATGGAAAGTATTAGAAGTCAGTTTATAATTAATTTTATTGGGAGTGTTATTACACCAGATAAACTTTGTTTAGTTACTGAATTTTGTGAATATGGATCATTGAGAGCATTTATGAAAAATTCAGAAAATGAAATGTCATTAGATTTCAAGTTAAGGTGTATGTACGATATTGCACATGGTATGTTTTATCTACACCAAAATGATATTATTCACAGAGACTTAAAACCAGACAATGTATTAATTTACTCAACAAATGTTTCTGATTCTGTATGTGCTAAAGTTACTGATTTTGGTACTTCTGGTGTTTATGCTAGTTCATCAGATAAATTAAATATTAAAGACATTGGAACACCAATGTATATGGCACCAGAGATTCATCAGAGTAATCAAATTACATTCAAATCTGACGTATTCTCTTTTGCTATTTGTATGTTAGAAGTATATTTAAGAAAGAATCCATATCCTCATGACTCATTCCCAGATACTGAGTCAATTCTTAAATTTATTTGTGCTGATAAGAGACTAAGTATTTCTGATGACTGTCCTGTTAAGAAATTAATAACTGCATGTTGGAGCCAAAAACCAGATGACCGACCTGATTTTAGAGAAATTTCTTTGGAATTAAAGATGATTACAGGAGTGGATGTTTCTAACAATGCTAAATTGGAAAGAATGTCTACTTTAAGTCATATTAACAAAACTCAATCAAAACTCAATTTAAGTAATGACAAAGATAAATTAAGACGTTCTATAATTCCTTCAAGAATGAAAACGTCATCCACTTCTGGAGGAATGGTATTAGCCTCAAACAAAACTCAAAGGAGTGGAACACTGACTACCCTTTATCACAAAAATGTTAATCTTCATTCTAGTGGACATACTCCAACACTTCGGAAACGTCAATCATTTATAGGTGCAGAAGTTGAAGAGACGTCCTCACAATTAACAACCCCTAGAAGACCAGCAAATGAAGACCAACAAATATTACCCATATTGAAAACTCAACAAAAAAAATCTCCAAGGACATCATTGGCAATAGAAGAAAAAACAGAACGACTATCCTCTCAAAGTAATAGCCCAAGTACAAAATATGAAAAGATAAACAATCAGATGGACTTAAATAACTCAATTCAAACGAGTTCTAATTCCATTAAAGCAGATAATTCGATTACTCAATCAATAACAAGTATTTCAAATTCATTATCTGATAATTCATCATTTAAAACAAGTTCCACAAATGAAGAGATGAAAAAATAAAGTTAGTTTGTTATTAAATACAAAAAAGTTACAAAAATTTAACATTTAAGAAAGAAGCCAAAAAAAAATATAATTTACTGTTAAGAAAATGTTATTTCCATTTAAAGAAGACGACAATTGCAGTATGATTATCCATTGATCCTCTTTTTAATGACTCAGTAATCATTTCAGTAGCTACAGCATCAAAATCTTTTTTCTTGTGTTTTTCAATTGATTCATAAGTAAGAGTAATAAGTTCTTCATAATTCATTTTCTCATACAATCCATCACAAGTTAAAATAAGGAATGGATTATGTTTTCCAATTGGTGTCATTTGAAGAGCAGGAATTGGTGAAACAAAATCTTTCATTGATTTGTTATATGGATATTTAAATTCTATATCTCCAAATGATCGTGAAATAGCAAGAATACCATTAATTCTTCCACAAATAACTTGTCCACCTGCCTCTTCAATTCGTTTTTTTTCTCCGTCATCCGTTGGATTATGTTTTGTTGATAATGGAACTGGTTTACATCCTTTTTCTTTTGGTTTAGTAATTCCAAGAACTGCTTCAGCATCTCCAAGATTAGCTGTATATAATCGTTTTCCAACTAAAAGAACAACGCATGCAGTACATCCATTAGTCCAATGTTCAGCTTCTGAACGTTTAAGAACTTCTTGATCAGTTTTTAAAAATGCATTGTATAATGCTTTTTCATAGTTACCAGCTTTAAATTCTGTTTCATTGACAAGAATTTGTGCAAAAACTTCTTCAGCAACTTTAGCAGCTTCTTTACCTCCATGCCCATCAAATACAGCAAATAATGCCATTTGATCTCCTTTAATTTTAAACATTTTATTTAAATCAGGAATAATTAAATGAGCGTCTTCCATTTGTGGACGAGGGCCACACTCTTCATGAAATCCTATTTCCATTTTAGCTAATTTGCCTTTATCCATTACAAATTATTAATTGTAAAATATTTAAAGTTCGAATTTATAGTTTGTTTTATTTTTCCTTTGAAGAAGATGAACTATTTATATTGAAAGTTGCAGAATATAATTTCATTAATTCTTTTAAAATGTTTATAAAAATTTTATAATTTAAAAAAAAAACAATAAAAAGAATTTTATATTAGAAAAGAAGAATAGATAAATTGGTTAAACATAAAAAAAAACTTGAATTTTTTAAGTTATTTCTTTGGTGCAGCATCAAGTAATCCTTTTTTTTCATTTCTTAAAGTATTTAAACGAGCTTCTAATGACTGATATTTTAGTTTGTCTAATTGACTTTCAACTTTAGTGAATGAATTTAATTGAAGTTCAACATTTTTAATTTCTTTATCAACAGCAATTAATTTAGATTGTCTTTCTTTTTCTGCTTGTTCAATTTGTTCTTTCTTTAATTTTAATTTAGTAGCAACTTTTTTAGCATTTTTTTGTAAAGTTTTTAATTCGATTGTTTTTTCTTTAATCATTTCACCAAAATCTAAAATTTTTTTTCTCATTTGTTTATTTTCAAAATCCATTTTTTGTTCTTTTTGAGTAATATCATTAACAATAGAACTAATTTTATTAACTTGTTCTTGTTGAAGTTGTCTAATTTCAAATATTACAGAATCTAATTCACGTTTAACAACATCAATTTTTGAATGAATTTGAGCATAGGCTTTAATGATATATTTTTTTTCTTGTTTACTAACAACACCTCTTCCAGAGATTTTTCTTTTTTCTGCCAACCCTTCAAGTTCAATTAATTTTCTTCTTAAATAAGATTTTTCTCTAAATAAATTTTCTTTTTCACTTCTTATTCTATTTTGTTTTTGACGAATAAATCTATCTAACCTTTTTTCGAATTTAATAACTTCATCAGTACATTCATGATATTCAATTAATTTTAATGAAATTGTTTTATTTAATGTTTCTTTTTGAATATCATCAATAGTTTTTTTAATTGAAGACCTAAGACTTCTTATTTCTCTTGCAATACTTTGACATTTTTCTTGTGAAAATACAATTCTTTTTCTAAGTTGTTCATTGAATTTAATTTCATTTTCTTTTTGAAAAGTAATCATTTTATCTTTTAATTCTGTTTGTTTTTCACTTATAATTTTTTTTATATCCATAATTTTTTTATGGATTTTTAATACTCTTCTTTGTCTTTTATCAATTTCTTTAACTAAATCATTAATTCTTTCTTCATCAATAACTGTTTCCTTTTTTTCATTTTTCAATTCAGTTTTTAATTGTTTTAATACTTTTTTTTCTTTTTTAAATTCATTTTGTTTTTTTAAAAGTTTACTTTTATATTTTTTAAGTAAAGAATGAATAGTATTTCTAGTAGTTTCTATTTCTTTATTTTCAATAGGAATAAAGTCATGAAGTTTTTCAATTAAAAACAATTTTTTATTTTCACTTTGTTTATAAGCATTTTTAACTTCTTGAATTAATTTAACTTGTTCATTAACTTCTTTTGAATTAGTATTTTTTTGAATATTTTGAGTTAGTTGATTGATGGTATCATTCATTTCTTTTTGTTCATTAATTTGTTTTTGATATTTATCCCAAAGAGTAATATAATTATTTTTTTTAGTATTTAAATTATCTACAAGAGTACTATATTTTTTACTAACTGCAGTAATTCTTTTTTGAAGATAATCAATATATTCTATTGTATTTCTTTTTTTTAATTTTAGTAATCTTTCTTTTATTTTTAATTTCTTTTCTTGAAGTTTACTTAAGGCAATTGTTTTTCTTGTTTGTTTTAAACGAATATTTAAATATTTTAATGTTTCTTTATTATTCCCTGATTTGTTTTTTCTAAAAACTAATTGTGAAAATGTTTTTTCATTTGACTTTCTTTTTGCTTCACTAATATCTAATGCTTCTAATACTTTCTTTATTTGTTTTTTGATTTTTGTTAATTTTGCTTCTTGTTTTTCAATTCTTTCTTGTACATTTTGAACTTTCTTTCTATACAAAGAACTCATTTCATCAAGTTCATTTTGAATTGTATTTGTTGCATTAATTGGAATACTTGCAAATACAAAACTTAAAAATAATACTATTAACAGTATCTTCATTGATATTATAACCTTTTTTCAGTTCTTTTTTATTTTTTTTTTATTTTTTGATGTTGATTTTTAGAATTTTTTTTTGTTTGAATTTGATTTATTCTTTTTTTTGAATAGTACTTTTTATATTAATCTATATTTTAAATTGTTATTCTATTTACAAATATTTAAATTAAAAATTTTTATTTAAAGATAGTAGAATAAATGTCATGATAAAAAAAGTTAAAAGTTTTTAAAGTGTTAATTTGATTAATTGATATTTTGGTTTTAAATAAATTAAAGAATAAACAAATGAATTATAACATAGACGATAAAATAGGATCATTTTTAGTAATTAAAAATGACTTTTCTTTTGTAGTTTGTTGAGATAAATAATTACTAAGACCTATTCCTTTTTTAGTAATATCATCTTTATTAAGAAGACAAATGCCATCTTTAAAAATTTGTAAAATAGTTTGCATTTTTTTGGAATTGTTTTTTCCTGATGAATAAGATGAATTAAAGAAATAACCTTCGTTCTCTAAAAGGTCAATTAAAAAATGATGATTTTCAATCGACTTATTTGTAATAAATCTACGATATGCAGTTTCATGTACAATACCATTGAAAATATCTATTTCCATAAGTGCTTTACATCGTTTATTTATAATTTCCAATACATCAATTTGAGTTTTTCCTGTTGATACTTTTATTACTTTAACAACTTGTCTTGTTATTATTGATTTTTTTGTTGCTCTTTCTATAACAATATCATATTTTTTGTTTAATAATGCTATTAGTACAGCTTGTTGATATGCTAAATAATCTCTTACTGTTTGATATCTTTCAGCCAAACGTTGTGAATCAGAAATTTTGTGGAGTGGTTCTGAAGACATTAAGCTTTTTTATTAGTTCAACCACTAGAATCTCATAAATATACTTCAAATAAAACTACTATCTTGTTGTATTTAACAGTCATTCTATTTTCTTTACTATATGGAATATTCTACCTACATAATCTGATTTGGCGCCAAATAGTTATGTGTCATCAAAAAAAAAATCGATGATGAAGGGAGTTATTTTTAATAATTGAATGAACAATATTGAAATTATTTAATTTTGTCTGATTTTCTCAAATAAAAATTATTAAAAATATCTGTTGGTTCCATTTTTTTTTTTTTGATTTTTCATGAATAGTTCATCTATAAAAATACTGTCCTTAAATTTTGTTATTGAATGTTATTTTTTTTTTACACACAATACTTATTTTTGTTTTTGGATTATCACTTTTTTAAGAAACTAATAACTTACTCATAACCAATAACATATCGTCTTTATTGTTATTGAACTCGTTGTTATTTAACATAGCTAGGATAATACCAAAGGGTGCATAATAAAAGGTGTATGAGTTATTCCAAATTAACAAGATAAATTCTATGAGAACGTATAAAACATTTAGGGGATTACTAATAAATTATAAACCATGTTATTAAAAAAAATTTTTTTGTCATTCTTTTCTTCAATATTGAAAAAAAAATACTTTTTTCATTAGAGAATCAATAAAAAGAAACTTCTAAAAAAAAACAAGAAAAGAATAAAAATAGAAAGAAAAAAGAAAAGAATTCGTAAAACGACCAGACGTTTTCAAAATTTTTAACCCATCTTTTTTTAAATAAAAAAAACAACATCTTTATTTATTTAAATGAAACCTTCTACAACAGTTGATACTCAACCAGCTTTAAAAAAAAGAAGTAAAAGAGTAAATATTACTAAATCATTAAGTAAATTTTTAGATGTATTTGAAAAATCAGCAAACAGTTTGCTAGATAGAAATCAGAAGGACTAACATCAAACCAAATAGTATTTAAAGTAGTTGATTTAACCGCTGATTCATTTGAATATGCTAAATTATTACAATTATTTAGTGAAAATGATTTTGTGTTAATAAGTAATGAAAATGAAGTATTTTCACCTGATATTAGAATGACGATATGGAGAATGGAAAAAAATAGAAAAATTATTTTTGAAAGTCTTGCAAGAAAAATAAAAGAAACAAATGAACAACCAAAAAAACTTCAATTTCTTACATTTGAACGAACTAAAACATTACCTATTGAATGTGAAATATTTGTTTCTCATGTTATTTCAAATATTGAAGAAATTTTTTCAGTTGAAGGAGATCCAGTTTTTGATGACGATGGATATATTATTCAAATTACAATTGAGAAATTCTTTCAACAACTATTTGATCCATATGCTTCAACAGAATTTATTCATATATTTGCATTTACTGGAAATATTCTCTGTGAGCCAAAATTTATTATTAATCAATTTAAACAAATTCATAACGAATATTTAAAACAATTTAAAAATGAAGAAAAATATCCTAAAAAATATTTAGAAAATGTTCAAACCAGAATTGAAAGTGTTATAGAAATTTTTTTAAAATATCAAATATTTATATTATCAAATGAACAAAAAATAGAAATAAATCAACTTTTTACTTCACCAATTTATTCTTCATCATTTATTACAAATGTTAAAGAAATATTATCAAATAAAACTTCTGGATTTAAAAACCCAATTTCTACAAAACCTTTATTTATGAAAACTGAAAAAAAACAAACACGAAAAAAGAAGGCACTTTCTGTTTCTTCTCATCCTTCTTCAGAAACACCTAAAGAAGAAAGTCGTCCTAAATTAACTAGAACTAAATCAGGGGATCCATTAAGTATTTTTGAAAGTGAAAATGCTAAAGTTGATTTTATTGATATTGATAGTTTTATGAATATTGATTATAAAATTATTGCTGAACAACTTGTTGTTTATGATGTTAATGAATTTAAAAAAATACCATTAATTGATTTAATAAATAGTGAAAACTCTGAATATTTTCAAAGGTATATTAAAGTACTTAATAAATTAGAAGATTTATTTATTAAAATTATGACTACTACAGATGCTTTTAAATATTTTATTAAAGTTGCACAATGTTGTATTGATTTAAATGACTTAAATATGGGACATCTTATTTTTTCAGTTATTGTAAAACAATCAATTTCATGTAAAGAACAATTTGATGGATTAAAAAAAGGAAAAAAGTTAATGTATAGTAAAATTTATGATTTATTTTCAATTCAAAGAAATCTTTGTAGATACAGAAATGCAATGAAAAAAATTCCATTAGAATCTCCTAGAGTTCCTATTATTTCTATTTTTTTAAAAGATGTAATTTCATTTAAAGAAATGGAATCATTTTTAAATGGTAATATAAATTATACAAAATTTAGAGCATTAACAGAAACTATTGAAGCAATGGCTATTTCACAACATATTCCATATATTATTCCACCATTGAATATTATTCAAAATTTTTTAAATTCACAAATGGTGTAAAAATATTTTTTTTAATATCAAATTGTTGTTTGTTTTAAATGATAATGTTTTTTATTTTTATTTTTATTATTTTTTGGTACAAATAAATAAATTAATTAAGTAATCTATATAATTCACCAACATTGAATAATACAGTTTTCATTGTTCCAAGTTTATTTTGGATATAATCAGTTACAAAAGGACCATATTTTTGAATTGAATCATTTGAATAAACTAATTGTTGATCTTGAAAAATATTTATTTTTCCATCAATACCTGCATTTTCTTCAATCTCACAAGAAACAAAGATATTTTTTTCTGAAAGAATATCAATAACTAAATGAAAACATTCAAGTCTTCTTTGGTCTTGCATTCTTCTTTTAGCTCGTTGTTCTTGTAACCCTTTTTTTACAAAGTCATTTACTAATTCTTCCTCTCTTAATTTAACAAAAGTACCTACATCAATTTCATCACCATTACCAAATACTATTTCTGATATTTTTATAAATTCATGGGTTATCATTGTTTTATGTCTTGGTTTACTCACTTTAATTGAACAACTTTTTGATAAAAGAGCTAATAAAAATGCATAAGCATCACATAAATTATTTGTTAACCGATATCTTCTTCTTTTATTGTTGTTAACCATGTTCATTAGTCTTGATTGATTTGTGATTATTTAAAATTATATTTTTTTGATATTTTTTCGTTCACGAATAATAGCAATATTTTTATTTAGTAGAAGAATTCTCTTTGAATAAATTGAAAATACCTCCAAATTGGTAAGAAGCTTGTCAAAAATTTTGGAATTTTTGTTGATTTATATTATTAAAAATACTTAATCGAGTTTTTTTTTTATCTATTTTTGATTTATAAAAACTACATTTTTTATTTGTAATCTAATTTTTTGTTATTAATAACGGAATAAATAATAAAAATTTTGTTGTTAAGAATAACATTAAAGAGAATTTATTTTACACTGAATTTAAAATTAATAAGAAGAATAACATGAGACTTAGCTTAAAATAAAGAACTAAGAAAAAATTGGTGAAGAAACAATGGAGACATTCCCTAATGATCATTTGTTTCCTAAAGTTACTCCACTTCTTCCAATTACTTCAAAAAAAATAAAACTTGATGAAAGTACAAGACAAAAACATTTAACAAAATTAGTTAAATTAAAAGTTATTTGTGTTAGATTAATGGACCAAATTATTAAAGCTGATCAAAAAGTTAAAGAACAAATGTTTGATACTAATCAACAAATGAAAAAAGAAAGTTTAACATATTTTATAGCTCAACAAAGAGAAATGAAACAAGTTAGTGACAATTATTATATAACACAATTAAAACGATTTAAATTTCAAAGAAATGTATTGGCATATGATTTTAATATTATTAAACAACATTGTGAAATCTTATCAGTGGTTATTTCTATGTTAGAAAAATCATATTTTGTTATCGAAATAAAAAAGTTCTTTATTTCTCCAATTAGTTTATTAAAAAAAGATGAAATAGAAATTCCACGTAAAGAATTTATGAATGTTTGTATTTTTATTTAATTCAATTAATAAAAATGTTAAAATATATTAATTATATCATAGAAATTAAATAAGAATTTATATTCTGCAAAACAACACTATTACGAAGTACTCACAAAATATTCAACATTAACAAACCCTCGTACAAAAGTATTAAAAACAATATTAGTTGATGTTATAATTAAAATTGATAAAAATGAACGAAAATTTATATTTTCTCCTGATTTAATCGAACATTTTAATTATTGGTTTTGGGATTATAGATCTCCTTATTGGGAAGATATAAAACGATTAGTATTAAAACCAATTCAAAGTAAAACTATTATGAATGAATTAAGAAATATTCGTAAAAGAATCATTAAAGATAATAAAATAGGGTTTATTGGTAGTAGTGATATTTTAGATAGACTAATTGAAATAGTAGCATTTCCACGTTTATATTATAAAACCATCCCTTTACCATTTGATTATCAAACATATTTTTTACACTGTAAAATTATTAAAGAAAAGTATAAAGGAAATTCTCAATGGGATGGTAATTTTAATCAATTAATTTCTTTGTGTAATGAATTAAATTTATTATTCATTCCAACTGACATTTTTAAAAAAGTAGATGAAATTGTTTCTAGTATTCCTAGTTTATTATCTTCTATTCCTGATGGTGATGAATTACTTCAACATGTTGCATGGATTATAAGTAATTCTGAATTACATTGTCAAAGAGAAATATCAGATATTTTATTAAATTGTTCACCATACAAACATTCAGTAGGTAAAATTTGTTATTCAGCAACAATATTTGATTTAGCATTGAAGCTTATTATTCTTTGTAATGACTGATAAAAATGTTATATAGATAAAAAGAGATAGAAATATTAAAATAAAATGTAATTATTAATTAAATTCTTCATTTGCTAAAATTTAATTTAAATTCCTTTTAATTTCTCCCTTTTTTGTTTTTAAAGTTCAAAAACAAATACCTTTTTCTTTAATCTACCAAATTCAGTTCCCCAAGCAATTGCGACATCTGTTAAGTCTAAAACTGATTTAGCAGCATTATTTCTTAATACCTTATATTCTTCAGGATTTTGGAAAATTTTAATTGCTCGTTGAATTGCAAAAACAAGATCTCCATGTGCAAATCCTTGAAATACAAATCCATTTCCTGTTTTATCTATTGGATTATATTCAAAAACAGTATCTTTTAGTCCTCCTGTTTGGAACGCAATAACTGGTGTTCCACCTAAGAATGATTCTTGTTGTACTAATCCACTTGGTTCAAACATACTTGGCATACAAGTGAAATCACATCCCATATTCATTAATGGTCCATCAGTAAAGAATGCAGTTGGGTCACACCAAAAACATTGTGGGAATGTTTGTCTCATTTCTTTCATTTTCATTGAACAAGCAACGGCATATGGATCATCCATTGGTGCCATACCTCCAATAATAAATTGACACTTTCCATTTGTTTCTTTAACTAATGACCAAATTGCATCTAATAATAAGAAAACACCTTTTTGTTCACAAATTCTTCCAACAAATCCAAATAATGGAATACTATCATCAACATTATTAAAATATTTTTGTTGTAATCTTCTTTTACAGTCCCAATGATCTAATGTTGGTGATATTTTCTTTAATGTCTCTGTTCTATGAACAACTGAAATACCATTACTACAAGCAAATGGATGTGGGAATTGTCTTAAATGATATGATAATGGTGACCCTTTAAGAGCATCTTGCATATAACTTTTACTGACTGTTCCCCAATTATCACTACATTTTAATGCACACATTGACATATTTAAAGCAGTTGGTCCTGGGTTATTAACTAATTCTCCAGGAAGTTCATGAATATAAGACAAATCCGTGTCTGGATATAAATCTCCAATATATCCTTTTTCTAAATTATGAACTATATGGAAGAAAGTACACTCTTTGAAATAATCTCCAAACCCATATTTGGCATAAGCAGGAACCATTCCTGTAAACCAATCATTAGTAATAATTAATGATGGGTGAATTCCTTTATCACATAATAATTGTAATGATGATTTACCTAATAATACTGCAGATCTTAAATGTCTTTCTGCATTAAATGGTGGATAAGCCATTGGGAAATTATCATAATTATGAAGGAAATATAAATCAACATTATTTTCTCTTCCATAATGAACACCACAACTAACAGGTTCATGTGCTACTTCAACAGTAACACTTCCAATTTGTTGAATTCCTTCATTCTTTAAATAACCTTGTTGACCTTTTTTATTCATATTATAATATGGTGAAATAACAACAACTTCACACCCTAATTCTGCCATTGTTTTTGTTAATTCATTAATAAGAACACCAATTCCTCCAATAGTAGAAAATCTTCCTAATTCTGGTGTAACAAAAACAATTGTTCCTAATTTATTCTTTTCTAATGCAATTCTACAAATTTCTCCTGCAACAGTAGACTCTCTGGAAACAGTTTGTAAAGTATTTATTCCAATAATTGGAATTTTACGATTTCTTAAACCATCAATAATATTGATTTGATAAAATAATTCTTGAACTAAATCTGCAAGTTTATTTTGTTCATTCTTAGCAGCTCCATCTTTTAAAGATTTTTGTAACGTTTGAAGATATTTAGAAAGTTCTTTAGCTTTATTTTCTTTTAAATCAGTAAATATTTCTTCGAAAATACTATTTCCAACAGCAGATTCTCCTGACTGAAGTAATTGTATACATCTTCTAATGGAACATTCTTGATGTTCAAGTGCAACTCTAACATTAGTATGTGGTTTATATAATGAGAATTGGAAACATGCAATATCAAATGGACCAAGCTTAATTGGAATATGTTCATTTTTAAGTTCAGAATAACTCATTAATTCTCTTTTATGAGTAACAACATCAATAACTTCAAAGACTGCATCATCTGGTTGTTCATGTTTTAATTTTAATTCATGAAGATCAAAATGAACAGTGACTGAATTATTTATAGTATTAATTGCTACAAGAGCAGCAGTTGCAGAATGAGAATGTTCTCTCATAATTCCAATAGTTCTATCAGATTTTGTTCCATCTGTATTATACATTGAAATAACTTTAATTTTACCAAAAATCATTAAATGTTCAGCTCGTTCTCTAATTAACGCACGTTTTTTATTTAATTCAATATGATTTTTGTCATATGAATTTAATGGAGTTAAACATGGAATAAGTGGAAGTGATGAAACAAAATGAATAAGAGATGGTTGCATTGATTGGAATTGATATGCAAAAGTAGTTCCTTGTGGATATTTATCTGGATAATAAGGTGCCTTTGAATTTTCTAATTCTTTTATTTCATCATTACTACAAATTAATTGGAACATTGTCTTGAAATTAGGTGACCATAATGGATTAAGATCATCAATAAATGGAATGACTGTAGATTGAATAGAAGATACTAATTCTTCAACTGGTGCTTCTACAAATAAAAAGAAATCTGGATTAGTTGACCAAATATCACGTGTTAATTTTCTTAAAAATGGATTTGGATATCCCATAGTAATAGCGTCATTTCCATAGATTGTTTGAGAATCAACTTCACATCCAGTTATTCCTTTTGCTGTTTCTGTATTCATTGCAGCAATTGGAAGTAACGAATCACAAATTGAAGTAATTCTAACTGCATCTATTCTACATTTTGTTTCAAGTGTTTTAATTTCTTCAACAGCCTTTTCCCAACATGCAATAGATCGATAGTTCATAAAAACTGAATCTCCATTTCCTGCAAATTCATTGTTATTTGTTTTACACATAAAAGCTCTATATGGAGATGATTCTGAAACTGAACTTGAAATTTCCATTGGGAAGTCAACCATAATATTAATATCTGGTACATCAAATTCATGAACTCGTTCAATTAATTGATGAGCAAATGCATCATCTTCTAATACCCTTGATTTAGATGCGTTGATATTAATTAAATGAACTGTATTAGCACCAATTTGTTCCATTAATTCAGATGTTAATAATTCTGGTTTATATCCCATTTCTGAAACACCATAAATAGAAAGACTCTTTGCTTTATTTGGTAAAACAATTGTTCTACTTTGAATAACTCCTCCTGAACATTGACATTCAACAAATTGATCATTAACTAAAGTACCAATAACAATATCATATTCTCCTGGTTGAATTGTATTTCCAATATTCATATTTAATGGCATATAAAATGTTGTTCTTTTAACTGGAGAATCAACGTTAAGTGAAGGTAATTGAGGAACAGTAACTTCTGCAATGAACTCTTTACTATTTTTAAGAGTATGTTCAAACAATGGATGTTTGAATGTATTTGTTAGTGTTAATGTATCACCAACTTGTAAAATTTTCTCAATAAAGAATGGTTTAGTAAATTGATGAAGATGACCATCGTATAAACAATTTAATAGTATTAAACAAGTAGATCTAATTTGGTCAATTGGATATCCCAATAAACTAATAAATAATTCTTCTATTTGATGAAAATGACTATCAAGGAAAAATTCATTTGACATCAATTTCTTAATAAAAACAACAATCTTTTGGAATAAAGTTTCTGGAAAATCTTTGTTAACAAGTTCTACAAATTGTTTCTTAAATTCTACCATTTCTTTAGCAATTTCATCAACTTGTTGAAGTTTAGTATTAATGTTTTTAAGAGTTTTAGTAAATGATGCTTCTGCTTCATTAAATTGTTTAGAACTTCCAGGGAAAAGAATAAGACTTAATTGGTCAAGAGCAATTTTATAAAACATTAAATCGTTTCTACCGTTCCCTGCAATTAAAGCATTAAGATGGTTTTGATGGATAGTTAAAATAGATCCTTCAGTAACTTTAAATTCTGGTTCATTAACAATACTTACTTTAGGAACAGCTTCTGACTTATCAATAAGAACACATTTTAATGAATAGTATTGAATAATCTTATAACATTGATCACCTCCTGAGATAAGAGCTTTATGTACTGCCATTTCTTGTGGTGTTAATGTAGTAATTTGTTGTAATGTACCAAATTGGTCATTAAGGAGTTTGTCTAGAATAGGTAATGAGATGGAAATTGACATTTAATGAATAATAATAATAAGATCTTCAAAGCAATTTATATTTAGATGGAAGTGAACTTAAAATTTATTTATTATGAAGTTCATTAGATTCATTATCATTTTATTATCATTTAATTACTATAATTATGGAACTGTCACTTTTTAATTAGAAATATCCTGATTTCAGTTTTTATTTGTGGCACTTTCTAAAATATTTTCCTTTTCGGTGATTTAAATAAATTGTAAATTAAAAATCGTTTGTAATCAATAAAGTACATAGACAAATTATATTTATTGAATTTTGTTTTTATTAAATGACATGATTTAAACACTATTATTTATTTCTTTGTCTTAAAAAAGACTATAGTACTCTTTCTTTATATGGCAGTGATGGTACATTCTGTTGTAAGTAAATTACTAATTTTTTCTTCTTTTACATATCTTTTATTCTACTCTTTAAAAATATTAATATATTTTTAAAAGTAACAAAATTTATTAGTTAAATAAAAATATGTTACAGTTTAATTTATCTTATTGTTTATTTATTTCTTCCTTGTATAAACTATTGATTGAAGTCTTTATTTTCTTTTTATTTACCTCATTAAAACAAATGTTTTAGAGTATTGACAAAATTTAAATTAATTTTCATAAATTTGTTTTATTCTTGTCTTTTATGTTTTTGTTGTTCATACATTTCCATTAAATATTCTGCAGAATCAAAGTGTTTAAACTTTTTTTGAGGGGATAGTCGTTTATTAATATCTGGCCTTTTGGATAATATTGGTTCAGATGTCCATTTTCTTTTTATTATTTGATCATCATTTTGGATATCTGAAAGAGAATTCATACTGTATTGAATCTAAGACAATTGAGTTTCAGTGAAATGATGATAATGATATGATTATGATTTGATTATGAGATAATTTATGAGAGAGAAACGATAAAAATGAAAAGAAGATTGATAAAGTGAAAAAGATAATTTAAAGAAAAAAAAAAGAGGGTTTTAAAAAATAAATGAAAAATAAAAAATTATTGTAATAAAGGAATTAATGAGCACCACCACTTCATTAAGATGTACTATTCAACTTGGTGACTATTGCATATTAAAAAGGGATGAAATCATGACGATTGTTGAAGTGAAAGAAGGAGTTAAAAAACGTTTTGCTAAAAAAGAAGTTCAAGTCGATTCATTAATTGGAAAGTCATTTGGACAATGGGTTGAAGTTAAAGACAATATTTTTGTTGATGGTAAATCACCTGATGAATTGGTTGCTGAATTTTGTATTAACGATGGAACAATTACAAAAGATAATCGTAACTTACAAGACTCAAATTCAAATCAACAATTAACTGATCAACAGATTGTTGAAATGAAACAAAATGGATTAAGTGGTGAAGAAATTATTAAAGAATTATTATCTCATTCAGATACTTACGAAGGAAAAACAGCATTTAGTCAAGAAAAATATATTAAAAAGAAAATTGGAAAACACGTTGCTACATTTCAAATATTAGAAGCATCTCCAATTAATGTTTGTGACTATTATAATTTAAAAGGAAATTTTAAGGCTGGAAGAGTAAGAGAAGATATGTTATCTTATATCATGTTTCATTCTGATTTACGTGAAAGTGTTGGAATTATGGAAAACTGTAATGGACTAATTCTTGGAAGTGTACTGAGAGCTGTAACTCCAAACGTCAAAGTTTATACTGTAAAATATAGTGGAGAACAATACAGTCTTGCCACAGTATTAGCACCTCATTTTTCTGAGAACTCAACAGATGATTATCAGAAATATTCAGTACAAGAAAAGTTATTACATTACACTTCATTTAAATATAATGTTGATGTTCTTCCACAAGTAAATTCATTAATTATTGTAACTGATGTTGAACCATTTGAAACTGTTAAAACATTATTCCCTTCATTAAAGAAATCAGGGTCTCTTGTTGTTTATTGTCAATACCTTGATAAATTAGCTCGATTATTTGACTATTTATGGAAAAAGAAATGTATTGTTTATGCAGATGTCATTGAGCCATTTACACGAACAATACAAGTATTACCAAATAGAACTCATCCAAATGTTTTAATGGATTCTAATGGAGGATATTTATTGTATGGAATTAAAGTAGGAGAAATTTCAAATTCAGAACCACAAGGTCTACAAGAAGAAAAAGAAATGAAAGAAGAAATAAAAGAAAATAAAGTAATGCAAGAGGATTGATTATAATTTTTATTAGTTTTCTTTTTGAAAAAAAAAAAGAAAAAAGAACTTAAAATATTCAAAAAGATGAATGAAATTGTAGAACAAGTTGCTCATGTTTTAAAAGGAATTACTCTTAAACAAGGAATTTCTATTGAAACTCAAATTGAATTACCAATTGAAATTTTAGAAGAACTTCCTATTGAATTATTTAAAGAAAAAGACAATACTGTAATTTTAATATTATCTAAATTACTTGAAATTCTTCAGTCATTTGAAAAAATTTCATTTTTATTATTTTTTAGAATTACAAAAGTTATTCAACGATTAATTGATTCATTGAGTAATCAAAAAAGTGGAGAAATAATACCAGGAATTGTTTCTCAATTTGAAATCATTAGAAATAATGGAAGAAGTGAACAAGTTATAGAGTGCATGAAAATTATTAAAAATATTATTATAAAAGGTTTTAATTATATTTCATTAAATAATTATCATCGATTAGAAATTATTATCAATAAATGGTTTATTCAAAAATGGAAATTAGAACCAAAAAAGGTTGGAGAATTTTGTTTTGAATTAATAAAATCTTTAGGACATTCAATGAAACAAACAATTAAACAATTAAAAGAAGTTGGAGTTAAAGCCAACCCAGAAATAATAACACAATTAGATATAAATGATAAAAGTGAAATAGTAGAATCTTTATTAAATGATATGATAGGTATTAGTAATTCAATTCTTAATTGGATTAACGAAAAAGTAGAAGATAAAATTGAAGAAAAAAAACAAGACTCTGACATTAGGTATAAAGGAAGAGAATTATTAAATCAATTAGTTGCAATTTCTTGGAGAGATGAAGTAATTAAAAGTCAAGTAATTATTTCAAGTCAAATAATTAGTGCTATAGAAGTTATTATTTTTGAAAGAAATGAAACTCTCTTATTGTTTCAGGAAGATATTGAAAGAAGAATTATTGAAGAGGTTATTGAATTTAATAGAAGAAGTGATAAATTAATTAGTGTGTTAAATAGAAGAAAAGGAAATAATGTAATAATCAAAGAAGATAGTAAATTAAATAGAGAAATTGAACAGAAAGTTATTGAAATTCTCATTGCTAAAGGAAAAGAAAATACTGAAGAAATAAAAGACCAAATTATAGAAGAAATAATAAAAAGTAAATTTAAAAGAAGTGCAAAGGAATTACTTTATGAAAAGAAAAAAATTAATTCTGAACAAATCATTTCAATTCTTCTTGACTATCAAAATATACAAGAAATGAAAGAAATTGTTCAAGAAAATAAAAATAAAATAGAAATTCAAGAAGTTATTGAAATTTTAAGTAATTACAATTGGAGTGATATTAAAGAATTACAAATTATTAATATATTCATTAATGAAACAAATGAATTAAGTGAAGAATTGTGTAATCAATTAATAGATAAAGTAAATCAAAATTTACCAATAATGATAGATAATGATGAATGGATATATTATTTATTTATTTTAATTAAAAATATTTTAAAAAAATATCCTTCTCTTCTTATAGAAAGTGTTTATAAATTAAATGAAGGACCAATAGTTAATGAAAATATTTCAATGAATATCAGTTCAATGCTTAATATAATTGGAATAAATAATAATCAAATTCCAACAAAATCAAATAAAGAAGAAAGAAAAAAAAATAAAGAAAGAAATATTAAAATGAATACTGTTCTTCAAAATTGTTTAATTGGACTAACTCATTATAACTCTGATATTAAAAATGAAGCAATTTGTATTTTAAAAATGAATATTAAATTAATTAAAAAAGAAGAAATTATTAAAATAATGAATATTCTAAAATTTACAATTGAAACAGAATTAGAAAATGAAGACTTAAATGAAATATTAATAATTAATATTATTGAATTAATTAATACCTCTATTATAATACGTAAAAAAGAACTTAATTCATTTGTAGAACACCTTTTAAGAAGTTTTGGTTATAAACTTCTTGAAAGAATTATTTACATTGAAAGTACACCATATAATAAATTATTTGAAATGAAACAAAAATTGTTTGAAATGTTAGGTCATGTTTTCAATTATTGTTTTATTAATTATGAAAATACATTTGATTTTATTCTTTGTATCATTCGAATGATAAGTTGTAAACGGTTCTTCTTATTACCAAAATTACAACAAAAAAATGATGTTAATATGATAGTTATATTAATCAAACAATTAAATCTAATGAATTCAGATGTATTTAATAGTATTGTAATTCCATTGTCCTTAAAAACAAAAGTTAATAAAACTAATTTTGAAGAGAGGTACTCTCGTATTTTTCAAATGCTTTTTGGAATTGACTATAAAGAAAACCAATACTTTATAACTCAAATTTTATCTAAATAAAAATAAATAAATGTAATATACATTTACACACTTCTTGATTTCTTTATTTTTTAATTATGAATTTTGTATATCAATTTTAACTCAAATAAATGAAAGTTTAATTGAATTTATGAATAGATTAAAGGATTAAGCAATGATTCCTCCCCATTCAATGACATACTTTCCTGTTGGTCTTTGTCTTTCTTCAACACTATCAATTGTTGGGAGATTATTAATATTTTCAACTTCTTCAAATTTTAATGCTATTCTATGAATTTGATTAAATCCACTTATTTTCAGTTGTGCAATTTCATTATCATATGATGAATCACAAATTGTAACTTTGTAATAATTCTTATTTAATTTTGCAATCCAATAAACAATGAAATCATTGACTTCTCTCTCATTCATTCCCAATTTCTTTAACAACACTTCTAATTCATTAGAAATATTTTCATATGTTATGCCAACTTCCTTTCCTTTGAACTCTTCTTTCTTCAGACAAACACCTTCCCAGAATAAATAGTCAAAGTGTTTGTTATTTATTTCAATTACACAATTTGATACTCCATCACTACAATATGTTCCTTTCCATTCATACTCTTTCTTAGTATTGTCTTCTTTAATGATTCTTGGATTTGGATAAGTAGCACCAATATCTATTGCATCATTCAATTCTAAATGACAACAAAACTCTTCTTTCTCTTTAATTGTATCATCATACAATAAAATAACTGGTTTTTTTACATATACCCTTTCTGGTACTTTTAAAGAGGAATTCTTTTTTAACATATATTCTGGATATGAAACTAATTTTACAGAAATTTCTTGATTATTAGAGCCAATGTCTTTTAATAGTGAACAAAGCCTTACTGAGTTAAATAGTATTCTTTCTGAAAAGTTTGGATAAAGTAAATCCTTTGTTTCAAAATATTTATTCCAAGATTTTTCTTCGTAAATAAAAAAATCAGTCTGAACCTCTTGTTTAATACTTTGCTTAACTCTTTCTTGGATTATTTTACAAACCTGTTGTTTGATTTCTTCGAGACTAAAATAAATACTTGCGGTAATAACAGAAATAAATAAGTCACAACTTAATGTAATAGTGTTAAAATATTTTGATGTTTTGTTTGTCAACTCTTCATTAAAGTTAATTAAGTCGAACATAAAAGGTGTTTTACCAGAGTTAATAGTTACAGTTTCATACTCTCTCAATCCAATACCAAAATAATTCATTTCTTGTTTCATGGGAATGACTTTTATTAACTTCCCATTTCTTGTGTAAAAAGGACAATTAAGTTGATGAATATATCCACATCCAATGACATCTCCTTCTTTATAAGGTTCGTCAAACCTTACTCCATTTCCGTCTTCATTAAATAATTTTCCATCATCAGAATGAAATCCTATTGTTCCTTTATTCCATCCAACATGGGCATTTCTATCAACATTTTCATTTTCTATAAGACCAATAGATATGACTGGGTTTTTTCCTTTAACCTCAACTTCAATGTATTCAATAAGAGTACTAATTATTTGGTGCTTTTTTTTATCAAGACAAACTAGTCTAAATTTCTTATTTTTTTCAAAAGGAGTTGATAGTTCGATATAAGGTCTTGATCCAATTGTACCTATGATAGACTTTTGTTTGGAAAATTGGTTAAAGCTAGATTTGTTACCAAACGTAATGTATTTTTTCAACATCCCTTCTATTGATTCTTTGTTTGAAATTTCTTGTCTGACTTTTTTGCTCCATTCTATTTCATTACTTGCCAGGAGTCCAAAATTTTCTTTGATTGGGTTATTGATTTTCTCCAACTCTTTTTCTTCTTTCAGAGCTTCAACTTCTTTCTTTAGAACAGCAATCTCTGTTTTCATCAGTAGTATTTCTTGTGTAAGTTGTTGGTTATCCATAATGATTTATCTGTAGATCTTTTATCATGTTTAAATTATAAGTTTAATATCTAAAAATAAAATAGTAATAATAAATTTACTTTAAATATAATTTATTCAATACTTCACTTTTATGTTGTAGAAAGTTCTTTTTATCTCTTTTCTTGATTTTAAAAAATATTTTGAACGAAACAAATTATAAAATGTTTAAAAAATTATTAAGTAATAATTAAAATTGATCTTATAATTTCATTGATGTTGAATGAGAAGTAAGTGAAATAGTTCGAGGTAATGTTTGTAATATCAATTTCATTTATAAGTAATTTATTTATATTAAGTATTATAATATTTGTATTTATGAATGATGAATTATTATTGGATGTTCATTATTCCATTCTCTTATTTTATTTTTATTTATTTGAAATAGCCATAATGTGTACATCAGACACACCATAATTAATCCTAATATATTCAAATTTTGAGTCACTAGTTATCGTCTTGTCATGACTTGCGTTTGGTGAGATAATGCACCACCCAAGACAAATTGGATATAGTTTATTAATACTTATTATGGAGAATTATTTATTATGATAAAGATTACTTACTGTGATGGTAGTATTATTTATTTATCAGGATGCAGGTATTTTATTAATGACAGTTTTGAGTTGAATACATGAGTGTTATCAAGAAAAAGAACTTTTAAGTGATCTTCGATGGTAAAAGAGATAAGCCATGATCATAGCGTTATTGATATATTCAATATAGAATAACATTATAAAGAATAAAGAGAGTTCTATTCTTGCAGTACCGGGTAAGATGTTTTTCTAACCAAACGCAACGCCATAACCAGTCCATAACTGGGGGGAATCGAAGGATGGAAATATTTTAGGGTTCTGTGTGGTGTCTCTGACGTGCTACCTTCGAATCTTTATCAAAATAAGAATAATAAATAAATAAAAATTAAATCATTAAATATGATGAAATTGAATATTATTTTATTCTTTGTTATTTAATTATTGTTTATTATTATTTGATTATTGGTATTATATCCATTTAACATGAAAATTGATATAAATTATTAATAATTAAATTGAATTGATGTTATAATTGATTATAATTATATTTTAAATTATTTCATCAAATTGTCTTTTAGAAATAGAAATCCATGGTCCTTCTGTTGTTGTTCCATCATTGAACACAGTTATTGTTCTTTCAAATGTTTCTTCTTCTTTATGAAGGGTGGTGTTGATAAGTTGTTTTATACTCGTTTTTGGTCCACAAACTGCATATTTTCTTCCACCGACACGAATACCTTGGTAATTACGTGTTCTACCTATTTCTTTTACTTCATTCTTTGTTTCTTTTCTTGTTCCTATTGGTTCTTTAGGAAGAATAATTTCTTTAATTTCTGTATTTTCAACTTCCCAATTTGTATAACTAACTTCTCCTGTATATGTTATTCTTTTATTTCTTCTTAAATATTGAATTTCAATTGTTTTGATATTTTTTTCTTGTTTAATGACTTTTTCTTGTTTATCTTTTTCTTCAATAATACTTTGATAAACAGGATCTCCTTTTTTCACTTCTTCTACATTAATTGATGTTAATGATCTTACCCATGTTAACATCTTTACAATTTCATCTTCTGAATGTGTATTATCAAATCCTTGTAATCCTTTTGAATCAACAAAATACATTGGAAATTCTATATTTTCTGTTGTTCCTGTTGTTTCATTAACAACTTTCATTAGTTCTTCTTGATATTTTCCTACTTTACTTCTCTTCTTTTCTTCAATAACTTCTTTAGGAATATAACAATAACATTTAGTCCATACTATACAAACATGTCTCCAAAAGTCTGTTATTGGAAAAACATTCCTTATTATTTTAATCATTGTTTTGATATGTTGTGCAAATCGATCTTGATTAATATCTAAAACAATAACTATTGCTTGAAGTCCTTTTTGTCCTTTGATATATTCAACCATTTGATTCATATATTGTCGTTCTCTTCCTTCTGAATCTTGTAATCCAGGTGTATCAATAACAAACACATCTTGTCTATCTCCTTCTCCACATGTTCCATTTGTTTCTTTGGCCACTGATTGTGGATTATCGCTTTCGTTGAAAACAGCCTTCTTCAAAATGAAATTACAAAGTGCACTTTTCCCACTTCCTGTACTTCCGAGTATAATCAATTTTGTTTGTTTCATTGTTATTTTCTATTTAGTTATTTGAATTCTATTGTTATTTATTCTTTTCAAACCCTAAAATAAAATTATGCTTCATATTCTCTTTTGTCTTTTAGTCATCATTTTCACATATTAAAAACAAATACAGTAAGAAGAGTAAGTTGTAGATAGAAGTAGAATATACTTTGAAATTAATTATTTCATTATTTTATTATTTCGATACTATATTTTTTTTCTTTTCTTTTTTCTTATTTTTATTGTTTTAGAATATTCTCTTTTTTATATTTATTTTCTTATTTTCTATTTTGTTTTTGATAATTAACATTGAGTTTCCAAACACTTCACCACATAAGTATTTTAGCAAAAAGAATTATTGAGGGCTAGCTATATGACTATGTTGTGAAGAAACAATAGTCATAATGAAGAATGAGACACAAGAGAAGACATGATAAGAAGAAAGAAATGAAATATTTGGAGAAAGAATTAGAGAAGGAATTCTAAATGAAGAAGAATCAAAGAATGTGAAGGAATGGAAGAGACAAGAAGATTGAAATAAGGATAAATCGAAAGATGAACTATAACAAGAGTTAGAAATAAATATTAAGGAAGAGTTAACAGAAGAGAAAGATATATAAAGAAATAATGATAGAGAGTGAAGAAATAGAAGAAATAGTTCATATAAACCACAGAATATATAAGAAAATATTTATGAGAAGATTACTTCTCATTTTCAAGAAAAGAAAGGATATAAAAAGAGGATGAGACACCAGAGAAGATATAAGATAGAGTTGAAAGAGAAGAAAAATAAGGAATTACATGAATAAATTCAAGAAATAACAGTAAGACATTCTGAAATAACAGACAAAAACAGAAATCCATTTAGAGAAAATCAAAAAAGATAGAAATACAATTTTTAAGAAGTATTGAAAAAAATCAAAAAGAAATAGAATAGAAAGAAATTAAAAGAATAGAATAAACACAAAAAAATGAGAATAAAAAGAAAAACAAAGAAATCAATAAGAAAATA